GGGTGGGTGGGGAGAGGGGGGCCGGAGGGGCGGGGTGAGGGGCAGCCAGCAGGGTGGAATCAGGTGGGGTAATGGGTGTGGGATGCTCCACGCGGAGTCAATTGTGGTCAACACAGCTGCTGTATGTCACAGCTGAACGTGGCAACCTGATCCTGGTCCAGTCCCCTCAATCCCACGCCGCTACATTGCTGCAACCTCGCCTCGCCCCAACACGCTCCCCCCTCTTCAAAAAAAGGCATCCTGCTGCGGCGCCTGATGGCCGACCCCGACCTGACCGGCGTCACCCACCTGGTGCTGGACGAGGTCCACGAGAGGGGCTGCGAGTCAGACCTGCTGCTGCTGCTGCTCAGGCGCCTGCTCGCACGCAGGGCCGCGGCCGCGGGTGGCGGGGGCGCGGGGCCGCCGCCCAAGCTGCTGCTGATGTCGGCGACTGCGGATGCTGAGCTGTTTGCTGGGTACTTCAGAAAGGTGGGAGGACGTGCTTCAGGGCGAAAGGACGGCCTGCAAACGGTGCCTGGGGGTGGCACCGGGTGTTGGGCAAAAGATGGTGCCGTCAGCCGTGGCAGGGGAAAGCGCCCCACGCGGTCGCAGTGCTGCCGCATCTGAGGCGTCCGCGTGCAGCAGGCGTCAAGAAACAGAATAAGCAACAAAGTAAGCAGCCAGAAAAACAAGCTATTGAAGCATATCACGGCTTTGAGGTCATGGCCCCAAGCAGTTGCTCCCCAGCTTTCATAACATTCAACCCCGCTGCATCCGCCCTGACACCAGCTGTCTCCCCTTACAACCCCTCACCTGCCACAGGTCGTCTTCGGCAGCGGCGGCAAGCGCGGCGCAGCTGCGCGGCGCGGCCTGGCTGTCAGCTGCCTGACCATCCCGGGCTTCACCCACCCGGTGAGGGAGCTGTGGCTGGAAGACGCCCTGGCCGCCACCGGCTTCAGGGTCGGCCCCGGGTCGCGCTGGGCAAAGCGCAAGCTGCCAAAGGCGGACTCGGGGCCCAATGGCGGCGCCAGGGGCGCTGCCGCGGGCGCAGCGGCGCAGCAGCAACAGCAGCAGCAGGTGGCGGGGGTTGTCGGCGACGATGATGAGTCAGCCTTGGGCTGGGATGAGCCTGACGAGGACCCTCAGGCTGACGGCGCCTCGAGCAGCAGCAGCAGCGGCGTCGGCGCCGCGGCCGGCGGCGGCGGGGCGGCTGGGGTCGGCGGCGCCGCGGGGGAGCAGTACAGCGCTGACGTCATGAGGAGTGTTGAGCTGATGGACGCCAGCTTAGTCAACTACGACTTGATAGAGCTGCTGGTGGCCCACATAGTGGGGCGCACGCAGCGCGATGGGCCCGCAGCCATGCTTCAGGTGGGCCTCTCATTCCAGCGTTGGGCGCGTGCAGGGGTTGGCAACCGGCAGCGCGATGGGCAGCGCTTGCCGTGGCCATGTTGCAACACCCCTGCGGGGCTTCCGACGCACCGATAGCCCTGAGAAAATCGCGCGTGCCGCACCGACGTCCGCGCCCGGCCCTACCTGCAATGCACGAAATTGCCAGGGCTGGCGGGACGCGCCGCCCGGCGCGCTTGCGCCGTCGCGCGGCCGGGACGCGGAGGCAGGAGCCATCCTGGTGTTCATGCCTGGCGCCCCCGAGATCGACCGCCTGGTACGCCAGCTGCAGGGCAGCCCCAAGCTGGCCGCCGCCGCCGCGGGCGCCTCGCTGCGCGTCCTGCCGCTGCACGGGTCGCTGCCGGCGGGCGCGCAAGCGCGGGTGTTTGAGCGCGCGGGGCGGGGCGTCGTCAAGATCGTGTGCGCGACAAACGGTGGGTGTGGGCGAGCTGGGGGCAAGATCCTGGGCAAATTTAAGCGGGTCGGCGCCTGAGGGCAGGCTTCAGGCAGTTTCGGGGGTCTGGCTGACGCACGTCTGCGAAGATGGTTGGTGTCAGTCACTGCAACCGTGCAGCCGGACGCCCATGACTTGTCTGGCTGGGCCTCAGGTGCTCCACACACGAGATGCACTGATATTGCTGATGCACACGCCATGACGCACACGCGCCCCCTGCAAACTCGCGCCGCGCCCTGGCAGTGGCCGAGACCAGCATCACGATTGACGACGTTGTGGCCGTCATCGACACCGGCCGCGTCAAGGAGACGGGGTGGGTGCGCCTGGGGCCGCCATTTCATGGGATGTTGCAGCAGGGAGGAACAATGGCCGTTCTGAAGGGAGGGTGCGCCCTGGGACCTGACGTTTGACGTGGTCGGCAAGAGATGCATAGGGAACTTCACTCCCGAACCTTCGCACCAAAGACCTGGCAGCCGCCCGCTTGCCCGCTGATGCGGTGGCGCCCGCGGCCTCTGGCAGCATTCCTGAGGAAGAGGGTTGTCGCACCATCAAAGTGCTGATTCTCAGGTCCCTGCCTGGGAATCCCACCTCATTCCCTGGTTTTGAGGTCTGTCGCGTCCCTTCTCACCTCCCCTTTGCAACCCCCCTGCCCGACCTTCCCCCTCCCCCAGCTACGATGCCGAGAAGGGCCTCTCCCGCCTGCAGGAGGGCTGGGTCAGCCAGGCCGCCGCCCAGCAGCGCCGCGGCCGCGCCGGCCGCGTGCGCCCCGGCTGCTGCTTCCGCCTGCTGGCGCGCGACTTCTGGGGCTGCCTGGCGCCGCAGCAGGCCCCGGAGGTCCTGAGAGTGCCCCTGGAGCAGCTGTGCCTCTCGGCAAAGGCCGCACTTGCAGACATCGCAGCAGCCACCGCACCGCCATCATCATCATCATCATCATCATCAGCAGCAGCAGCAGCAGCAGCAGCAGCAGCAGCAGCAGCAGCAGGCGAAACAGGGGGAGGAGCTGTGGCGGAGGAGCGGCTGCAGGACGTGCTGGGGGAGCTGCTGACGCCGCCCGACCCCGCGGCAGCCGAGGCGGCCGTCGCGCGGCTGACCGCGCTCGGCGCGCTTGCACCAGCCGGGCAGGCGCTGACGGCGCTGGGGCGGCACCTGACCGCGATGCCGATGGACGCGAAGGACGGCAAGGCGCTGATCTACGGCTGCATGCTGAGGTGGGGTTTAGGGTTTAGGGCCCTCTGGGGGGGGGGTGGAGGGATTCCTGAGGAGGTAGAGGGCAGCACTTGGGCTTCCGCTTTGCGGCCGTGCCACGGCGGAGCCGCGGGGCCCCACGCTGACGTCACTGTGCAGCAGACGGGGATTGCCCATACGGGGATCGCAAACGGAGGATCATGGGGGTGTTGTCGTGGTCAAGCAGCCCCTGATGTCTCCCAGACCTGACCTGACCGCCCTTGACTCAATTATGAACGCACGCACGGCCGCCCGCGGCCCCTCCCCC